CACACACACACACACACACACACACACACACACACACACACACACACCTGGGCTTTTCCAGCAACTTTGTTTTTGTTCCTGATTTACAGCATCTGCAGTTCTTTCGGTTTTTATTTAGGAAATCATATTGCTGGTGGTAATGTCAGTAAATGTGTCAACGAAGAGTTTGTGTTTACAGGAATTCCTATTGTTTACCTATAATATATCAAGTGCGTGCAAGGTCCCGAGTTGAAAACTTGTCCAGACAATGGAACCACAAATCCAGTTGTAGAGTATCAATATAGACAGCAATCTGTTTATCAAGATATTTGAAGGAACTTTGTTTGGAATGTTGACATAATAGATGATTTGATTCTGCTACCAAATTTCAAACAATTTGCTCTGTGTTTATAAATGTAAAATCGATAGGCCTCCAAATAGGCAAATGTGCAGAATAATTGTATACCTTGGCACAATCTCTGAAAGCTTTCTCATAAATGTTATTCTGTTTGTGTTTTTCTGTAGGGTAATAGTGGGTTAAAACCAAAAGACAATGAACTCACTTCAAAACCCTGGCATTGGCCAATCAATTATCAGGTAATAAACTTCCTTAGCTACTGCACGTTCTCTTTAAATTTGAAACTTTTGCTCCACTTCTGACAGATGTGCATAGTGTTCGAGAAAACATGAATGTCAAAGCACATTTGGTATATCTTTCTCTGACTGCAGTATTCCTCTTGTTCTGTACCTCTCCTACTCCTGATTGCAATTGATTGAAAGTGTCAGAATCTCGTGTTGAAAGAAAATAAAGATAGGAAGAAATAAGATGCCATAACCACTTTATCCACAGATTTAAGTTCATTTATGAATGTAGAGCGTAGTTTCCTCAGTCCCTGTGATAGGTTCTACTCGTGGACAGTTTAGGACAGCAAGTTCTGTGTTATAATTGGGTTTGAAACTAAGAGAACCAGTAGGACACAAGTAAAATTAGCAAATGTTTCCAGTTACCCATAAGAAGTGAGCAAGAAACAAGATAAACAACCTACATACAAAGTATGAGAAAACACAAAGTGTCAGAGATGTTAATCTTGGAGATTTTGATCTGCAGTACAGAGTGCGCATGGCAGCACAAAAATCTAACTGGCATTGTAACTTCTGTGGCACTATAACCCAATCTAAGAGCATTGGGATGTGGGAGCAAACCTTTGAAGCTGGTTTCAAGTTGCTGTGGCCGACTATGAGCCTTAAGGCAACTCTTCCCAGCACTGACCTCTGCTTGTGTAACATCGGTTTTGTCAGAGGAATGATATAAACAGGCACCGAGGAGAATTATTTATCCATTGTTGAATTTCTGAGAAAACGCTCTGATGTAGTAATCACAATATCCAGTAGCACCTATGAAACGTTTTTCAACCAGAAGCTACAGCCTGAAAAGAGCATTCCAGTAAGCTTAATTAAATTTAAAAGATTCTACACCTGTTACAGAGCCCTAAATAGGTATTGCGTCAAGAGGCATTGACCTTGTGGTATTACTGCAGGACTGTTAAACCAGAGATCCAGGTAATGTTCTGAGAACCTGGATTTGAATCCTGCCATGACAGACAATAGAATTTGAATTCAATGAAAGAAATTAAGTCTGGAATTGAGAGTCTGTTGGTGATCATGATCCTATTGCCAATTGTCGGAAAAACCCACCTGGTTCACCTTAATTCCTTTAGGGAGTGAAAGCACCATCCTTACCTGGTCTGGCCTACATGTGATTCCAGACCCACAGCAATGTGGTTGACTCTTAAGAATGGGTAATAAATACTGGCTTAGCCAGCAACACCGATATCCCATGAATGAATTAAAGACAAAAAAAAATCTATTAAAGGTAAATAAATCCCGTGTTGTCTCTTGGACTGACTTCAATTACTCGAGGTTCAAAGCGAGATTTACTATATTTATTTCAGAGTAACTAATTTAATCGAGGTTTTTGAGGAAGTATATCAACTTAGAGTGGATAGAGAGGAACCAGTGGATGCATGATATGTAGACTACTAGAAAGCATTCAGCAAGGTACCTCCTAAAAGATTAATTCATAAGAGCCCACAGTGCTGGAGGTTGTATATTGACATGGGTAGAGAATTGGTTAATGATTGGAAAATAACAAGTGGAGATAATGGGTTCCTGTTCAAGTTGGTGAACTTGACTAGTGAAGTTCCAAAGGGATCAGTGCTTGTGACCACAACTACTTAGAATAAATATTAATGACTTGGATGAAGAAAGTGAATTTATTGCAGCCAGATATGCAGAGGGTGGTTGATGTGTGGAATGAAGTGCCAGAGGAAGTGGTAGATGCAGGTACAGTCACAACATTTGAAAGACATTTGGACAGGTACATGAATAGGAAAGGTTGAGAAGAATGTGGGCCAAATGCAGGCAGGTGGGACTAGTTTAGTTTGGGAAAGTGGTTGGTATGGATGTGTTGGACTGAAGGGTCTGTTTCCGTGCTGTACGACTCAATGATTCTACGACACAAGATTAGACAGAAAGAGTATTGTGAGAGAGAACCAGTTTACAGAGATATTGAGTAAGTGAGAAAAACATTGACAAATGCAGTAATATGTGGGAAAATACAAAGTTGTTCAGTTTGGAAAGGAGGACAAAAGAACAGAATATTATTTAAGTGGAGAAAAACTGCATAAAGGTGAAACACAAAGGGGCTTGGGAGCATTTGTGCATGAAGCACAAAAAGCCGCAGGAAGGCTGAAGGACTGCTGCCCTTTATTGTTGGAGTGTGAGAGTATGGAAGTCTTACTGCAACTCTGCAAGGTGCTGGTGAGACCACGTCTACAGTACTGTGAACAGTTTTGGTCCCCTTAGTTAATGAAAGATATAATTTCATAGGAGAGAATTCAGAGAAGTTTCACTCATGGGGAGATGATGGCCTAGTGGTATCGCTGTACTGTTAGTCCAGAGACCCAGGTAATGTTCTGAGGACCTGGATTCAAATCCTGTCACGGCAGTTGGTGGAATGTGAATTCAAAGTGATGTGGAATTGAGCGTCCAATGATGACCATTAATCCGTTGTCGATTGTTAGGAAAAACTCAGTTCACTAATGTCCCTTAGAGAAGGAAACTACCATTTATACCTGTTCTGGCCAACATGTGGCTGACTCTTACCCTGTGGGCACTTAGGAATGAGCAATTAATGCTGGCTGAGCCAGTGATGACCTCATCCCATGAGTGAATTAAAAATAAAATGGTCCGCAGTAAGGAAGGATTGTCTCATGAGCAAAAAATTGAACAGGTTGAGACTCTACTCATTCGAGTTTAGAGGAATGAGACATTCTTAAGGGGATGTTAGGATAAATGCTGAGAGGATGTCCCCTCTCATGGGAGAGCCTAGGACCAGAGGGCATAGTCACAGAGTAAAGGGATGCTAATTTAAGACTCGGATGAGAAGGAATTTCCTCTCAGAGGCTTGTTTGACTTTGGAACTCCTTGCCACAGAGAGCTGTGGGGGCAGAGTCCTTGCGTATATTTAAGTCTAAGTTAGATTCTTGATCAGTTGGGAATTGAGGGTTACGAGGCAAGAACAGGAAAGTGGATGTGAGGAATGTCCGATTAGTCAGTCATTACGATGCTCTTGATATCTGTATGTGGACTGTTTGACTGGCTCACTTATTGGCTTAAGATAGTCTGTAGCATCCTGGTCCAAGAATACTTGAACTTTGATTTGGGAAAGTATGGCCTAATTAGGCACAGTCAGCATGACTTTGCACGGGGCAGGTCATGTCTTATTAACTTGATTGAATTTTTTGAGGAGGTGACACAGGTGATCGATGAGGGTACAGCAGTGCATGTTGTCTACATGGATTTTAGTAAGGCTTTTGACAAGGTCCCGCATGATAGGCTGCATGGGATCCACGGTGACTTCGCCACATGGATTCAGAATTGGCGCTCCTATGGAAGACACAGTATTGGTGGAAGTGTGCTTTTTAGGCTGGACGTCTGTGACTACTGGTGTTCGGCAGGGATCCATACTGGGACCTCTGCTGTTTGTGACATGTATGTAAATGACTTGGATGAAAATGTAGATGGGTGGGTTAGTAAATTTGCAGATGATACAAAGACCGGTGGAGTTGTGATAGTGCAGAAGGTTATAAAAGGATACAGCGGGATGTCTTGTTGCAGCTTTAAAGGACTTGGTTAGACCACGTTTAGAGTATTGCATTCAGTTCTGGTTGCCACATTACAAGAAGGATGTGACGGCTTTGGAGAGGGTGCAGAAGAGGTTTACCAGGATGCTGGGGAGGAAATAGGTCCCCTTAAAGATCAGCATGGCCGTCTGTGTTTACTGAGGCAAGGATCATGGATGCAAAGGAAATCCGGGAAACAAGTGGGGAAGTTTTGGACCACATACACGTTACCAGAGACAAGGTGTTTGCAGCCTTAAAGTGCATTAAGATGGATAAATCCCCTTGGCCTGATCGAGTCAATCCTTGGATGTTGTGGGAGGCTAGGGAAGAAATTGCAAAGGTCCTTGCAGAGATTTTTGCTTCATCTTCAGCCACTGGTGAAGCTCCAGAAGACTGGAAGGTGACTAAGGTTGTTCCATTGTTTAAGGTAGCAAAGATAAGCCAAGGAACTACAGGCCAGTCTGTCTGGCATAGGTAGGCAAGTTATTAGAGAGGATACTGAGCGACAAGATCAACCAACATTTGGACAGTCAAGGCCTGATTTAGGGATAGTCAACATGGGTTTGTGTGTGGGAAGTCATGTTTGACAAATTGGTTAGAATTTTTTGAAGAGGTAACAAAGAATGGATGAGGTAGGCCAGTGGACGTTGTCTGTGTGGACTTTAGTAAGGCCTTTGATAAGGTCCCACATGGCAGGCTAGTTATGAAGGTTAGGTCACATGGAATCCAGGGAGAGCTGCAAATTGGATTCAAAATTAGCTCAATGCTAGGAAGCAGAGGGAGATGGTCGAAAGTTGTTTTTTGGACTGGAGACCTGTGACTAGTGGTGTGCCACAGCACCTGCTGGGACCTTTGTTATTTATGTAAAAGACTTGGATGTGAATGTATAGAGTATGATTAGTAAATTTGCGGATGATACAAAATTAGGAGGTATCGTTGATAGTGAAGAAGGTTATCATAAATTACAGAAGGACCTTGATCAGATGTGAAAGTGGGCTGAGGATTGGGAGATGCAGTTCAATGCAGATAAGTGTGAGGTGTTGCACTTTGTAAAGTCAAACCAAGGTAGGACTTATACAGTAAAGGCTAAGGTCCTGAGGAGTGTTGTGGAACAGAGGGACCTAGGAGTACCAGTACATAGTTCGTTGAAAGTGGCATCATAGGGTGGTGAAGAAGACATTTAGCATGCTGGCCATCATCGGTCGAGGTATTCGGTATGGGAGTTGGGACATTATGTTACAGTTGGTGAGACCACAGGAATATTGTGTCCAGTTTTGGTCACCCTGTTATAGGAAAGACATAGTTAAACTGGAAAGAGTGCAAAGAAGATTTACAAGGATTTTGGCAAAACGAGTAGGCCCGAGGTATGGAGAGAAGTTGGCCAGGATAGGACTTTATTTGTTGGGATATAGG